GGGCATGAGAACGCCCATCAAGAACAGGAGCCCGTTCGCCGAACGCCCAATGCCGCCGTGGAGGTGCGCCCAACGAAGGCCATTCCACGGTGAAAAGCCCAAACACCAAGAGCAACAGGGTACCCCTCCCAAGTCACCTGGCGGCGCGCACAGGGGAGTAGGGAGAGGGGGGAAGGCTTCCTAGAAGGAGGCTGCTCCTCATAAGGCGCGGGCCTCGTCTACAGATGTAGGGCCGGCGCCTTCTGAGGAGCAGCCTCCTTCTAAGAGGCCCACCCCATCCCCCTGCACCCCATGTGCGCGCCGCCAAGCTAGGGCTGTTCGTAACCCTCGTTCCAACTGTATCTGCACGTCCTCCCCCCGCTCCCGACTGAAGACGCCCCCGGCGCTCGCACCCCGGAAGGCAGCCCCCCTCGGCAAACGCCCCGCAGCCGCACCCGCTCAGAGCCACGGCCCCCTCTGCGACCACCAGAGACGCCCGAGGACGCGCCCGAGGACCTCCAGAACAGCCGCGCCGTCGGCGAATCCCTCCAGCCCTCTGGGCGTAGGTGGTCTAAAGAGGCTCCTCTTCCAACCCCCTGCTTCCCCTTCGGGGAGGGGTTTGCCCCTTCCGCTCTCCTGGACCTGGAAGGGGCGCCCCGCGAGCGGTCAAATCGTTTAAGATGGCCCAAGACGGCTCCAAGAGAGGCCTCAGAGAGCCCAAGATGACCTCCAAGATGGCACACGATAGCCCAAGATGCCTCAAGATGGCTCCCAAAATGCTCCAAGAGGCCCCAAGATCGTTCCAGGCCGGTTCCAAGCGGGCACGGAACATCTCACGGAGGCCGCCAACAGGACAAAATCTTTCAAACACTGGAGGAACATTAGTGATGTTTGCCTTCTCGCCTTTTCGCTTTCGATGGCCTTCCGATGCCTCAGGACAGCTCCAATTGAGCTTCAGAGAGCCCCAGGAGAGGCCCGAGAGAGCCCCAGGACAGCTCCAAGAGCGCCCCAAGAGCGCTCCAAGAGGGGTGACAAAAACGATCCTAGCCACTCTAGAGGGGCAAGGCTACTTGAGGCTCCTCCCTTCTTTAATCGATATCCCTCAAGATTGCTCCAAGAGCGTCCGTAAGCTTCCGAAGAGCGCCCCAAGAGGGTCCAAAAAGAGGCGCAAACGAGGCCCCACAATGCGCCCGAGAGACCTCCAAGAGGCTCGTAGGAGACCCCCACGAAGCCCCAAAAAGCTCCCCGAGTTACGCAAGAGGCACCCGGGACCGCCAAGAGGCCCCCAAAACGACCCAAGATGCCCCCAAACTCGCCGTTGTCCTCCTCCTGCTCCTCCTCCTCCTCCTCCTCCTCCTCCCCCTCCTCCCCCTCCTCCCCCACCTCCTCCGCCTCCTCCTCCTCCTCCTCCTCCTCCTCCCTCTCCTCCTCCTCCTCCTCCTCTTCCTCCTCCTCCTCTTCTCTCCTCCTCTCCTCCTCCTCCTCCTCCTCCTCCTCCTCCTCCTCTCCCCCATCCCCCTCGTCCTTCTTCCCCGCCGTTCCTCATTCGGCAGGCCCGCGAAGGCGCATACGGTTCGCTCCCGAGTCTGCGCAGGCTGATCCAAGACTTCGTTTTGACGACTTCCGCAGCTCTTGATCCACTGCATGCTCCTCCGCTTGAGCTGGTCAAGGCAACTCGCCTGGACATCGTTTGTGGATGGATGGGCTGGTGGGGATACTTTTGGTCAACGAGCTCGCGAGGCGTGTCGAAAGCCGTCCAAACACTAGTCGGGCCTCGACTAGGCAGCACGAAGAAGAAAAAGGCAAGCGAAAACTGGTAAGGATACGCGAAACGTCAATAATTCGACCCCGGACCTCTGGACGACGTCGTGCGCTTTTCATGGGCCCCTCGGAAATTTAGACCACACCCCCAAGAGTGGCCCTTCAACATGGGCCATTATTAGGCGGCCCTGGGGCCCAGCAGGGTACCAACGAGGCCGACCAGTTCGATGTATGCCCGTCGCGTCTTCTTCGCCACGACGCGGAGCGAATAAACCTGGACGATGTAACCTTGCCCCCTTCCTTCACGGTCGTCCACAACGGATGCGTCCAAACGCGGGGGTCGCAAATCATGGGCCGATGAAAAAAACAGAAGGGACATGAAATCCGTCTAGACGGCCGCGGCCCTGACCCCCCCTTTTCTGCGATCGGCGCGGGGGTCGCAAACGTTGGGGTTATATCTGGCATAACTTAACTTATAGATGGGTTACCATGCCCCAGCTGTCTTAGCGGGATCAAGAATCTGGGTTCCGCCCAGTTCGCGCAATGATCACACCCACGCGGAATTTGTAACCCAATGATCACATGAGTTGGGCCAAATATCAACCAGCTCGGCATCCAGTGGTCGCCCCCATATTTCCGTAGCGACCCCCGGCCCGATCCCAAAATCCCCGTCCTGGGCCTTCGGCGGCCGTTCGGGACGATAAGGGCACCCCCGAAACGCCTTCGGCGAGGCGCAACTACTGGAGAACATCCCGAGGCTGGAAGCCTGTCGCGACCCGGGTGATAATGTCAGCTTGTGAACAATGAAAGCACGGGGGGCGCGCCCGCCACGTGGCAATGCAAGGCGGCGGCACCGGTGATTAGTGCCGACGACCGGCGGCCGCCAGAGGGAAGGCGTCAGGCGCGACGCAAAAAGGCGCCGCTTCAACGGGGGGGGACAGCAACGCCCCCTCTTTGGCGGGGCGCTTGGGCCAAAATGGCTAACGCCAGCAGGGAAAGAGAAGGCGGGGGAAAGAGGCGCGTCAGCTGGCGAGCGGCGCCGACACGGGTGCAAACAAGAATGGTAAGAGGGGGGAATGAGCGGCAGAGGCAGGCGGAAAAGGGCTCTTCCGTTTCCTTCTGCACATTTCCCCTCTCCACTACGATATGTTTTACGACGACGGACGACGACGACGACGACGACGACGGCGACTGCGACGGCGATCGACGATCGTCGACGATGACGACGACGACCTCGGATGGCCCCATGGTGTGTGCGTGTGTGCTGCGTGGGCCCGCCGTCGTCGTCGACGCCGACGTCGATGTCGACGTCGTCGACGACGACGACGGCGACAACGACGGCGACAAGTACGACGACGACGTACTGTGGACTCCCCTGGGGGGGGGTGCTGCATAGGCCCGTTGTAGTGGACGAAAAACGACAACGACGGCGACGCCGACGACGGCGACGGACGACGGACGACGACGACGACGACGACGAGACGGTCGGTCGGTCGGTCGGTCTGTCGGCCGGACGGACGGACGGACGACGACGGACGACGACGACGACGACGACTGTGGCACGTCAGTGCTCAGCCTGAGAACGGGGCGAAAACTCGCCTCGGATGTATACGACCCCTATGACAACTTCATTGAGGCTGCCGCGCAGGGGCCCCTCGGCGGCGCCCGCGACGACCCCCTGGCGCGCGCGACGTCAAAAAATGCTTCGCGCCCCGCGGGGTCTGTTCATCAGCCCCAGGGGGAGGATCATTCATCAACTACAATTATGTTGCTCCCGTCGTACTGAAGGACCACATCCCAGACATATTTTCGAGCACCCGGAAAAGTGTCGAAAGAGTGTCGAAACAGTGTCGGACGAGTGTCTCCCAGGGCCCGACACGCGAAAACCCTCGAGTTTTGGTGCGTTGCTGGTGCTCGAATTTTTTTCTGGTGATCCAGGCTCAAGTGGGTTGGAGCATCATAAAACTACAAACTGACATTGCCGACCATTCGGGCCGGACGAAAGGGGGGATAGCAAAGGGGGGATTTTGAGAATCAGCTCTCGTAGCTGATTTTCCTGGCGCCTCCCGGCGCCGGGAGGCGCCCATGTATCGAGGAATGGGCCCGGCGGCGGGGCAGAAACCGGCTGCATGCATCAAATTTCGTAAACCCCCCTTTGCCAATCCCCCCCTTTCGTTCGGCCCGAACCATGCCCGCGCCGACCCTAGGAGCCATCGACCCCCTCGTGGCCGCTCGATTCTTCGAAACGCCCGCCGCCGCCAAGCCCCCCTGGGGCCCCAGCAAGCCGCTCTTTCTGGGCGCTGCTTCACGGCGGGGCGATCAATGAGGGGGCGCTCCTCCTCCTCCTCCTCCTCCTCCTCCTCCTCCTCCTCCTCCTCCTCCTCCTCCTCCTCCTCCTCCTCCTCCTCCTCCTCCTCCTCCTCCTCCCCCCCCCTCCCCTCCCCCCCCCCCCCTCCCCTCCCCCCCCCCCCCTCCCCCTCCCCTCCCCTCCCCCTCCCCTCCCCCTCCCCCTCCCCCTCCCCTCCCCCTCCTCCTCCTCCTCCTCCTCCTCCTCCTCCTCCTCCTCCTCCTCCTCCTCCTCCTCCCTCCTCTCCTCCTCCTCCTCCTCCTCCTCCTCCTCCTCCTCCCTCCTCCTCTCTCCTCCTCCTCCTCCTCCTCCTCCTCCTCCTCCTCCTCCCCCTCCTCCTCCTCCTCCTCCTCGTCCTTTCCCTCCTCCTCCTCCGCCTTATCCTCCTCTTTTTGGGGGGGACGCGTGCGCCTCTCGTGCCCCTGTTGGGCCTTTTAGGGCCCCTCTGGGGCACAGAAAGCTGCACCTGCCCTCACCCCTCGAACCATGACCAGGAGTGACCGCGGAAACGTGGTGTCGATCTTGGTCAGCGTCGATCTTGGTCAGCGCCAATTCGTGGATCAAACTCGCGAACCGGAGATGGCCGACATGGACCGTGACCGAGATCAGCAGCGACAAGATTCCGCGACATCTTGATCATGGTCCCCGTGCTTGTGAGCGTTGTCTTGTTCGGCGTTTCGATGTTGGGCGGAAAGGGGAGGGAGGGGGGGCCCTGGCTGCGGGCCTCTGCTGAGTGCGACTGCTTGCAGCAGCGAGTCCTATGGGGAGACTCCACCTGCTCGACACAGGCGCCAAAACCAGCCAAGATCCACTCCAGGGAGGGGGGAGGGGGGGTGGTGTGGTGCAAGGGCGTAACAAGGAACAAGAAAACGATCCCCTTCTGCCCTCGACATCTTGTCTCTCCCCCCATTACGCAACGCACGATCGGGCCCCGGCAGGCCGCTCCCCGGCTCCCCTCGGGGCCGGGGCCGCACCCGCTTGGGCCCACGCGGGCGTCGCGCGCCGGCCTCGCCTCAGCTGCAGAAAGTCACCCCGGAGGCCAGGGTGATCTCCTCGGAAGAGACTTCGCCGTCCCGGCGAGCTCCGAGTAGTCGCCACCGCGCCGCAGTCGTCGCCGCCGCCGCCGCCGCCGCAACCGTCGTCGTCGTCGTCGTCGCCACCGCCGCCGCCGTCGGCGTCGCGGCCGCCGTCGGCGTCGTCGTCTTTGGAATAGAATGATTGTTGTTCGGCGCGATTGTGGGAGGAGCAGGGAAACAAGAGGGCTCTCGACGTGACTCCCACGCTTCGCAAACGAAAAAACTTCAAAGTGAAGCTTTGGAACGACTGTATCTTCATTGCCTGATAAGTGGAAGTCCCAACATGAGCAACGATCAAAAAAAAGGCCCTACGCGAAACCAAACAGCTACATTGCGCGTTTGCTTGCGTGGATTTCGGAGCGACCGCTTGTGGTGGATGGGGGGGGGGGGCGCATTTTGTGATTCGCGATAACGCCCGCGACCGGTCCCCGCCCCCACCCTCTACCTCCCTGGTCACATGAGGCTTCGCGCTGGCGCCCTTCGGGAATACAGCGTCCTCGGGCACTCCCAGACGGCGCTGGCGGGAATCGCGACGTGACTGGCCCCCTCCCCCCTTCCCCCCGCCCTGCGGTCCCGCCCGAGAAGAACGAAACGCTCTCGGGGGGGCCTCGGGGGACGGGCGCGAAGAGTCGCCTGCGAATAGAGAGAGCACGAGCGGGGCGAAGGTCGCTCGCAGGCGGGCCGCCTCCCGGGGGCACACTGCGGCAGCCGGCCTCTGTCGGAGAGGCCCTCCGAGGCGCAGCAGGCCTCGGCCTCGGCGTCCAGCGAGCGGCTCGGCCACATCGGCGCGGGCTGCTGGATCTCCGCTTGGCACTCCGCCCAAACTGGCACAAGAGCGGATCACAAAAACAAGCGTGACAACAGAAATGATGATGGCTCCTCCTCGCCGACGCATCGGAGCCGACGGGATGGAGGACATTGGGCTCAGTTCGGGCGGCTATGAGCCGACGTCAGCGGCAGCCGCCCAGGTGAGCAGATGGGCATGGCCACTTCACGCGATGGCTCACGCGAAGCCGCTGAAGCACGCAGCACACTGTGTGGAAGCGCGGGCGCTGCTGACGCAGCCAGGCTCCGCGCGAAGGTCGGCGCAAATGAACCCAAATTTCTACGCCGCTGAGGGGACCAGAGTAAATGGGGCCAGAAGGTGGCACTTCATCGGCGATGCGGCAACGTCGTCGGAACGGAGAAGATCAGATTGCATCGGGGTTGCGGTGCGATTCTCCGATCTCGTCTGCTCTGGCCCCATGTGGGCGGCCTCAAAAAACGCCTGGAGCATGGACCGCGCTGATTTCGGAAAGGGCTCGGGGTTGCTTGGGTCCTTCCTCGAGTGATTCTTAAGGCGCTCCTCGTTTATCTGGGCTCGATCGGGGCTCCCAGTATGGTTCCGCTCCGAATTGAGTGAAAGGGTTCTTGAAGGCAATACGCTTCCAGGGCTGGCCAGCCCAGGTCCGCTGAGCTAAGCGTCAAATCCTTCATCTCCCCCTCCTCCCCAAACCACTCATCCTCATTTCCCCCCTCTTCCTCCCTCCCCCTTCCTCCCTGTCTTCCTCCTTCCTCCCTTCCCCCTCCTCCCTCATTTCCCTCCCTCTGTCCTTCCCCTCATCCTCCCTTCTTCCTCTCCTCTCTTTCTTTTCCTCCTCCCTTCCCCCGGAAGGCCGAAGACCGTTAGCACCCTTCGATCTAGTGCCACAAGAAAACTGCAAACACCACGGAGAACACATGGAGGTGGAAGCACGGGTCCTGCAGGACTTGCTGCCCTAATCAGGAACCGCGGCCGTGGAGAGAAAGAAACGGCGGCACGAGGGTCGAACAGAACTGGGTTTTACGCGCGATGCTAAAGCGACCTTACGCCGTGGCTTCCGCGGGCCGCCAGCATGGCACCCTACGCGGTGAGAAGGTTTAGAAACCTTCTCAGGCGGCAAGAGGCCTTTTGAACCCTCTGGGAAGGCCTGCTCCTTCGGGGTTCGGGCCAGCTCTCGGACTTCCAGCGGCCACTCGGGACGGCCTGGCCTCCCCCTGGAAATCGGCGGCCAGTCCACGGGAAATGAGATTGGACGGGCATTCTCAGAAGGCTGGGAAGTTCCCCAGCCCGAAGGCACAGATAACTTCTCAGAGGGCGAGAAAGCTTCTGAGAAGCCCAACCGCCTTGGGAGGGCCTTCCACCTTTCACTCCCCCCCGCGCTCGTCGATGAAGGACCTTCTCGGCGATGCGCATCTGCTGGAGAGCACCCCCGGGGCCAGAAAAACCGCCGAGGTCCGACGAGAACGCCGCTCGAACGTCGAGAGGCGCAGCTGGTGGAGAGCACCCCGAAGCCGGACAACCGCCGAGGTCCAACGAGACCGCCCCAACAAACTTCGAGCGTCGAGCCCGGCTAGGGAGACCACAAGAGGACGTACGCGCCCAACCACGCACGTGAACACGGCCTCCCAGTCCGCGAGGCCAGGCTCGTGTTACGAGCGTTCGCGCACTGCGCAGTGTCGAAACCAACGTGGACACTTACAGCAAGAACATGGATACAAGCACGTCCATTTAACACAAGAGCCCGTTCGCCGAGAGCCCAATCCAATGCCCCCATGGAGGTGAGCCCGACGATGACCATTCCAAGGTGGAAAACCCAAACACGAAAAGCATCCGGGCACCCGTACAACATTGGGACTGTTCTTGGACCTCTGTCGCTGCTGACCGTCGCTTCAGCGCCGCAGGAGGAGGAGGAAGAGGAGGAGGAGGAGGAGGAGGAGGAGCTTCGTTGGAGCTTCGGCGACAACGACGTTGAGCTTCGCGTATGGGCAGCGCCCGCTCGGGGCTCGGGAACTCTGGCGGCCCCTGGTGTGGCACGGGCCCGAAACTTCTCGCGCGCGCGGCCCCTGCCCCTCTCGCACGCGCGCGCGTTGGTCTGGGCAGGGCGGCACACTTTTCGGCCCCTGGCATGGAGAGATCGCCGCGCTTCCTCTCGGTCTGACCACATTCCGTGCTCGGCAGCGTCTGCGGCGGACTCCGGGGCCTGTGCCGAGAATGTTCCGGTAATCGGTGTCATGGGGCTCGATCTCCGCCCGCTGCGGCAAGCGTGTGGGCCAACCTCCTTCTGGCCGTGCCTCCGCCCCCGACCAAGTCTTGAGGGCCTGCTCGTCCTCGGAGGCCAATGGGATCTGACCGAAGAGCTTTGAAATAGGGCGCGAACAACACACACAAGCACATCCCTCCTCGTACTCTCAGAAGTCCGTCATGGAGTCGAACACGTCACATTCCTGCAGCTGTCGTTGCAGCTGATGGCGTCGGGCTCCAGCTTCGCCTCCCGTCTCTCGCACGGTGGTTTCGTCGTGGCCTCTGCGCTGTAGCTGACGGCTGACGGCGTCGGGCTCTCGCTTTGCCTCCAGCTTCTCGTAATATGGCTTCGTTTTGGCCTCTGCACTGTAGCTGCCGGCATCGGGCTCGTGCTTCGCGCACGGTGGCTCCGTCGTGGCCCCTGCACCGTAGCTGACGGCGTCTGGCTCGTGCTTCGCCCCCCGCTTCTCGCAAGGTGACTTAGTCGTGGCCTCTGCACTGTAGCAGTCGGTGTCGGGCTCTTGCTTCGCCTCCCGCTTCTCGCAAGGTGGCTTTTCCGTTGGGCTGCACCAGTACCTGCTGCCACTGCTCTCTGCGTTTGCTCCTCTTTCATGGCTATCTCCGGCGCATGGGGTCCAGCGTTCCCAGCCGCTCCATGCAGGGGTGAGAAGGTCGAAGACGGCCTGTCTGAAGGCCACCAATCGTTGCCTTCTCATTGGCCTGCGTGTAGCTTTCGACTGCATGATGTGCTGTGCGGGGTGCCGCTGAGGGCACCTCAGGGCACACATCTCATCCGTCACCAAGCAGCCATGCATCGGCGCGGCCGCCTATAGGCCCAGGGGCGGAGGCTGTCAGGGCACGGAGTGCCTCAACCCCCAGGGGCGCCGAAAGGCTGACCCCCCAGGAGGAGGAGGAGGAGGAGGAGGAGGAGGAGGAGGAGGAGGAGGAGGAGGAGGAGGAAGAAGACGAGGAGTATGATGAGGAGGATGATGCTGGATTGTGCTACGTTTCTGTCCCGATGTGCACGGGACACGACTCCCTGCGCCATGCGAGTAAGGACTCGCAGTGGCGCTCCTGATGGATGCAGCTGCTCCGTCAGCTGCTCGCCAAAGGGGCCACGCACGACTGAGGGCTTTTGCCTTACCCGCACCTGCCGAGTCCAGTGTTGTACAGGAGGAGAAGGAGGCGGAGGAGGAGGCGGAGGAGGAGGCGGAGGAGGAGGAGGATCAAGAGGAGGAGCAGGAGGAGGAGCTGGAGCAGGAGCAGAAGCAGGAGGAAGAAGAGAAGAAGCCGATCGCCGCGGCCCGCAGGCCCGGCCGAGGCGCCCGAATGGGCGCCCGCGGGGGCGGCGTCCTCGGGGCGGCCGCCGCACATGCCGATGGAGGCGTCGTGGCTATCCCGGGAGCCGCACGAGATCTGGTGCGCATGCATACCGGAGCCTGCGGCCCGGGGGGGTAATGCCTCCTCCCCCCCCCTCGTCCTGGGGAACAAAGGTCGGCGGCACCGGCCGCAAGGCCTCTGCAATAGCTGGTTCGCATCCGAACCCTGCCCCCGCCAACCGTCGAGTCCCCGGCATCTGCGAGAGGCGGGGGTACGGTCCGGATTTCGCCACGTGTTCGACGAGATCCCAACCCTACATGGGCCGCCCATGTGAACGTTTTTTGATTCGGCGTTTCGACGTTGGGCGGAAGGGGGGGTCTGGATCCAGAGCTCTGCTTAGTGCGACTGTTTGCAACAATGCGTCCTATGGGGGGGGGAGGCTCCGCCTGCTCGTTTAAACAGGCGCCCAGAACAGCCAAGATCTACTCCAGGGAGGGGGGGGTGCAAGGAGGAGGGGGCAGGAGGAGAACGGGATGCAGGGGAGGAGGGGGCAGCAGGAGGAGGATGGGAGGAGGGGAGAAGGGGAAAAGGGGGAGGAGGATGGGGGGGAGGGGGGGGGAAGCGGGGGTGCGAGGGCCCGCGCCGATCGGCCAAACAATGAGCACAAACAAAAACGACGACTATCGAGCTGCCTGCATCGCTGATCGGCGAGGGTCGGGCTCGGACCGCGCCGCCGTGGGGGGCCGTGGCGGCGGAGAGCAGCCGCCCGCCCGCCCTCCTTCGTGGGAGGAGGAGGAGGAGGTGTCGATATCCTCAGTTCGATATCCTCAGTATCCTCCTCCCCGCTCCTCCTCCTCCTCCTCCTCCTCCTCCTCCTCCTCCTCCTCCTCCACCTCCTCCCCCTCCTCTTCCTCCTCCTCCTCCTCCTCCTCCTCCTCCTCCTCCTCCTCCTCCTCCTGATTCTCCTCCTCCCCCTCCTCCTCCCCCTCCTCTTGTTCCTCCTCTTGTTCCTCCTCAACCTCCTCCTCTTTCTCCTTCTCCTCCTAGGGGGGGGGAAAGCAGGGAACACGCAGGAGGCACCTCTGCACTTGCTCGCCGCGGGCCCGGCAGGAGGCGCAGGGCCGGTCGAGCGGCCCAAGGCCCCATGCCATGGGCGGCGAATCTGGCACCGCAGCAGACAGGGAGAGACGGAACAGGCGGCCGCGAGAGGGGGGGAGATGAAGCACCTACCCCTAGGAGGAGGAGGAGGAGGCGGAGGCGGAGGCGGAGGCGGAGGAGGAGGAGGAGGAGGAGGAGGAGGAGGAGGAGGAGGAGGAGGTCGAGGATGTCGAAGTCGAGGAGGTCGAGGAGGAGAAGGAAGATCGACGTCGGTGCCAGGTGGAACGACACCACTACCACCCGCGCGAGGAGCTAGGTGGGACCTTCTGGTGGGGAAGTCCCCCCTCCCCGCTCGACACATCCCCTATCGTCATCTCGGGGAGGCATCGGGGACGTCCTCGCTGGAGGTGGCACCCCTGGGTGGTGGTGTGGCTTTCGGGGGTCCGCGACGGCGGAGACCCAGATCACGGATGGTATGATTCCGAACCATTATGCAGAATTGCTCTCGTTTTGAAAGACAACGCCCCGCGTCCCACTCACTCACTCACTCCTCCTCCAGCTCCTCCAGCCCAGCTCCTCCTCCTCCTCCTCGCCCCCCCCTGCTTGGATAGCAAGGGCCCCGTCATCGACTCGGGAATAGCCGGGGCACCCCCCACTGGCGGAGCCAGTGGGGTGGTCGGCGCCGCCTGGATCGGCGGGGTATAAGTAGAGCCGGGGACCAGGCCGCAGGACTGGCGGAGGCGGGAGGGGTCGCGCCTCCCCCGGGGGATGTGCTCCTCCCCTCCTCTTCTCTCTCCCTTCTCCTCGTCGTCTCCCCCTCTCGTCTCCTCTCCCCCCCCCAGGGCTCACAGCTCCCATGCACGGCGGTTCACCCCCCCGCCGGGGCGAGGCCGGGGGACCCGCGGCGGCGCGCGGAGCGCGCCGCCGCCGTTAGTCACGCGGTGGTCGATGTTTCGGCCGCGTGCGCTCCAGGAGACTCCGCCTTGTCGCCCAGGGCAGGCCTGGGGGTAGGTGGCAGGCTCGTTTTCGCCGCCCTTGTGCGTGTTTCGCATCTTCGGAGGTCAGGCCAGCAGAATCCAGCAGAATCCTCCTCCTCCTCCTCCTCCTCCTCCTCCTCCTCCTCCTCCTCCTCCTCCTCCTCCCTCCTCCCATACCTGTCTCTGCCGTCCTCATGTTTATTTCGGCACACCTCTCACAGTTTCGTGGCCCCATAGGGGGCCCCACCTGATGCCCAACTATCTGGGCACGCATGCCTTTCTCCACACCATTTCGGCGCACGCCTCACAGTTTTCGTGGCCCCATGGGGATCTCCACCTGAGGGCCCGGTGCCAAGACCCGCAATCTTCTCCACACCATTTCGGCGCACCCCTCGCACGTTCCGTGGCCCCATAGGGCGATCCACCAAGGCCCCAGTGCCAGGGCCGGCATGCCTACTCCGCACCATGTCGTCGCAACCCTTGCACGCTTCGTGGCCACACAGGGAGCTCCACCTAAGGCTCCAATCTCAAGGCCTGCATGCCTTGAGACTGCACGCTTCGTGGCCGCAGAAGGAGCTCCACCTGAAGGCCCTGTGCCAAGACCCGCAACCTTCTCCACACTGTTTCGGCGCAGCCCTCGCACGCTTCATGGCCCCATCGGGAGCTCCACCCTAGGGCCCACTCCCAGTGCCAGGGCCCGCATGGCTTCTCCACACCATTTCGGCGCTCCCCTCTCACGCTTCGTGGCCACATAGTGAGCACCACCTAAGGCTCCAATGTCGGGGCCCGCATGCCTTTTCCAAACGATTTCGGCACACCGCTAACACGCTTCGTTGCCCCCCCCCCAGGGGGCTCCACCGACGACAATGCTCAAAATTACAATACTCACAACTGCATGTCGTTTGGGCCCATCGCCAGCTTGTTTCGATTCGGTTCCTGGGTCCAGTGGCTATCAAACAACTGAGATGGGGCGAAAAACTGGCCCCAAGGAAAACCCAAGGATCCGATGTCGTGATTTTGTCAATACGCGATCCCCGGAAGTCTCGACCCATTCCCCAAGACCGGTTTTTCATCCTGAGTCGTCTGCTGATGGTCCCGGGGCCCGGCGCGGGCCCCTAGGGGCCGAAATTTGAGAAAAACCTCCCTATTGATTTTTCCAATGCGTTGGATCTCTGGGAAGGGTCGAGACCACTAAACAGCGTATCGAACAGCTCATGTCGTCGGATGTCTTGGAAGCAGCGGGGGAGGAGCAGGGAACACGCAGGAGAGGCACACGGCCCCACCGAGTCCAGGCAGGGCAAGCACAGACTACACACCGTGCAAAAGCCCAGGATGGCCCCCTGGGCAAGCATGGTGGTGTGAGAGGCAACGATAGATGCGGATAGGCATAGGGGGGAAAACATCGACCTGGAATCGGCGATACATCGCTGATAGATCGGCGATAGGCCTCCGACAGGGATAGGCCTCCGACAGGGATTCCGCATAAGCATTACTAAAGGAACGAAGAATGACACAAACATAAAAACTGAGAGGTCCACGCGGATTTCTCGGATCGGCACTGGACCCCCCTCCCTGGCGCGCGGAGCGCGCCAGGTGCAGCGCCGGAGGCGCCGCCAGGGGGCTCCAGCGCAAATCCGAGAAATCCGCGCGGACCTCCGAGTTGTTTTATGTTTCTGTCATTCTTCGTGCACGTCTGAAGGGGAACTGGGACACACAAATAAATAAAAACAATTAAAAGGATCCCCCATATTTTCCAATATTTTCTGGGTTTTTGTCTCCCCCCCCACTTCCCATATTTTCCCATATTTCCTGGGGATCGACGATGCATTGTGTCTGTGTGTTTTTTTCCCTCCTGATTGTTTTATGTTTCTGCCATTCTTCGTGCACGTCGCGTGCACAGGCCCGTCCACTGCCGGAGCTCACGGCGCGACCGGACCCTGCTGCAGTTTCCCGCCCGTGCCCTATGTGGCCGCCCCCCGTGGGCATACGGGCCCGACCTGACCTGACCGGACCAGACATGTTCTCCTTCGTTCCCCTGAGGCTGGCCCCTTCAAACGACGCGAAGATCGGGACAAAATCGGATCGGGATAAATCGAAATCTCTGAGAATCGGCGGGTTTGGAGGATGTATTGGGCGGCGCGGCCGCTCCAGAGCGTTCCGGAACGCTCTGAGAGCGCTCCGGAACGCTCTGGAGCGATGTATCCCGACCCTAGCCCTGTTTTAGCCCTGGGCAAGCACGGTGGTGACACGGAGGCCTCCTGCGGACGGACACCGTTCGGGGGCCACATGCGAACCCTACCCCACCCTCCCCCTCAGATCGGGAGCGGCCAAGAGGAGGGTGTCCAAGAGAGGGGGGTGCAAATCATGACCGGCGGCACGTGCGCGGCCCAGCGGGGGGGCCAGGGACGTAATGAAATAAGAAGAGGCGCCATAAAGTCTGGGAACTATCATGGCCCCCGCCATGCTATGCACCCCCCCCTAAACATCACCCCCCCCCCTCTTTGCCGCCCCCGATCAGAAACCGTGGGGGGTATGGGGTAAGGTTCGCATGTGGCCCCCTCACCGTGGGGCCTTGACCTCGGGATCTCCCGCGCGAAGTGAAGCCCACCCTCCCCCTCAGAAATCGTGGGGGGTAGGGGTAGGGGGAGCTCCCGCGCGAAGTGAAGCCCTCCCTCCCCCTCAGAAACCGTGGGGGGCAGGGGGCAGGGCTCGGAGGAAGAGGAGGAGGAGGAGGAGGAGGAGGAGGAGGAGGAGGTGGACGTGGAGGAGGAGAAGGACCCCCTCCCCCTCCAACTTATGGTGGTGGTGGTGGTGGAAGACAGGCCCATCATATGGGGCAGGGCTCGCATGTGGCCCCCAGAACCGTGGGGCCACGACCTGCGCACGTGCCTGGGCCTCGCAGGGGGGCCGCGGGCGGCCTGCGGCCCTCGTGCTGCGCCAACGCGCGCCGCAGGGGAAGCGACCGGGCGAGCCTCGGCCACAGCGAGCCTCGGCCACGAATGCGGGGGAAGCTTGCGACGCCAACGCGACCACTCAGGGAGGCTGGCGACGCCAACGCGTCGAACGCACCCCCGAAGTGGCGCACTCCCGCCCGGGCTGGCCACGGCGAGCCTCGGCCACGAATGCGGCTCGCCGGCCTGGATCTGAGATTCGATCGGGCCTGTCCTCCTACAGGCGGATTCTGGGCGAAAGCAAACCAATGGGCGAAACATGCACCAACATATTCAAACAAATGATAGAACAATCGTCCCCAGACTAAGGATATTTTTGAATATTCCTCTGTAGGCTATTGACTTTGATTATTTTTGACTTTTGACTTTTGAATATCGTCCCCCGTACCAATGATTGTTTGACTATGTTTGAATATTCCTCCTGTAGAGGGACATGCCGGACATAAGCCTACAGCCATCGTGCTGCGAGAACGAACGTCGAATGGGGAACGACTGGGCTTTTTTCTGGCCACGGGAGCCCATCCCGAGCCCAAGGCGGTCCTCACCCTCGGCTTCCCGACTGCAGAACGCCTGCAGGGCAGCCCGACCCGCAGGTGAGCGAGGGAGACCTCGCCTTTTAGTTACACTGTGTTTCTTGATAAGCGTGGGTCGGCCTCGCCTTGCCGTCGCTCGGAGACGGGGGTCGGAGCGCCTTTGGCGCGCGTTGGCTGCCCGCGACGGGGGTTGATGTGAGGCTGTCGGCGGGGGTGACGCACCCGCAACGCTTATTGAGACATTCGGAATACTCTAAGGCCGCGTGCCCCAAGTGGCCCAAGACAATCAGACGCCCGTATTGGCAATAGAGGCCACCTAGATGGGGTCCGAGTAGATGGGGCCGGAGGATTGCACCGCATCGCCGATGTTTCGGCGATGCAACGTCGTCGCCTCTTGTTGTATATTGTTGTTGGTAATTGTGAGATGTTGTGTGTTGCTATATGTTGTTTTATACTTGTGTATCTTGTTGTGTATTGTTAAATATTGTTGTATCGTGTTGTACGTTGTTGTATCCGGTTGTGTATGGCTGGGTATGGCTGTATGTTGTTGTATGTATCTGCTGTTTGTTGATGTATATTGCTGTATGTGCTTGTGTACGTTTGTATATTGTTGTGCACCGTTGTGTATTGCCGTATATGGTTGTATCGTGTTGTGTTATGTTCGTGTTGTATATTATTTGGTCTTGCTGTAAAGTGTAATATTGTTGTGTACTTTTGTAACGTGTGATCTAATGCTGAATATAACTGTATGGTAATGCATATGTTGTGTATAGCTGCATTTTGTTGTATATGGTTGTATCGTGTTGTGGCTGGTATCAGGCTCTCGATGATTGTCTGTTGTTGTATATGGTTGTATATTGATGCACCTGGTTGCATAGTGTTGTATAGTGTTGTATATTGGTGTGTAGTGTTGTATCTTGGTGTCGCATATTGTGTGTTCGTGTATGTTGTTGTATAGTGTTGTTTACTGCTAGTGTTACACATTATTGTATATCGCTGCATGTTTATAATACTGTGCCGTGTTCCATAGTATTGCGTATTGTTGCGTATTGTTGTATATTCGTGTATAATGTTGTATATGGTTGCAGATGGCTGTATGTTGTTGTATATTGTCGCGTACTGTTGTATACTGTTGCGTGTTGCTTTATATTCTCAGATGGTTGTGCCTTGCTGCACATTGTTGTGTCGTATTGTATCTAGTTGTTTCTTGCTGTGTATCGTTCTATAGTGTTATCTAATGCATGCTTGTTTTGCGTATTTGTGTATACTGTTGTGGATTCGGGTATCTTGCTGTCTATTGCTATTGGTGTATGGTGGTGTAGAGTGTTGTATTGTGTTGGAAATTGTTGTGTATAATGTGCATTGCTGTAGATTGCCGTGTATTGCTGTATCGTGTTGAACATTGCTGAATGTTGTTGTGTATTGTTGCAAACTGTTGTAGATGGGTTCAAATGGTTGTGCATTGTGGTGCATTGCTGTATATGGTTGTACATTGTTGTGTATTGTTGGCTAGTGTTGGATATTGGCGTAGAATGTTGTATCTGGTTGTATGTATATTGCTGTATGTTGTTGTATAGTGTTGTATATTATGGTATGTGGTTGCATATTGTTGTAACGTGTTGTATATTATTGCACAGTGTTGTGTAGTGTTGTGTGTTGTTGTAATGTGTTGTATATTGTTGTATATGGTTGTGCCTTGCTGTACCTTGTTGCATATTCGTGTAAAGTGTTGTATCTGGTTGTGTATTTTTGTATTTTGTGTTCGGCACATTCCATTGCAACTTCGGCTCTAATCTTGCAGCGCGGAGGGCGCTTAGCATCCGAGGCCGCATCCCATCATAGCTGAGTGGTGGGCCGCGCATAACAGCAAGAGATCGTCCACGTCTTGAATCAATCATTGCAACTTCTTATTTTGTACGTTCATTCTTAGTTTCAATACTGATTCAGCATGGCAGACGAGGCACCCCTTCGAGAACGTCAGGGGACTCGCACCGGTCGGCGACAGTTGCTCGGTGCTGAAGGTGTCCGTGGAGGCGCTGAAGGTGCAGGGGCTGCCGGAGCGGCGGCCGCACGCTCCAGCGAGGGTGAGGCAGGCCGTTCGAGGTCCCCGCCCCCGCCCCCGCAGGCAGGCGGGCTGATGCAAGCTTGCCTCGTGCGGCACGCGGCCCTGGCTGGCGGCCCGCGCGAGCCTGACCGCAACCGTAGCGCCCTCATCGAGAAGGAGCTCAAAGACTATATCAACTCAGACCTCAAAACTTCCATCAAAAAAGCCAGCACGACCATGGCCGCCAAGATCGAGAGCCTTCAGCGGACCAACAACCGCAAGCTCAAACTCGCGGCTGAACTGCAGTCCCTGGGTGGCGGCAGCATTCCAGCCAGCGTGAAGCCGGCAAACTTCGGCTTCGAGGCGGACCTCATGGACACGGTAACGCTCCAGGACACGAGCTACGACCTCCACTTCGACAGCGGGTGCACGATCCGCGACGCCAAGCGCAACCTCCAAATCTTCTACCTGGAGAAGTGCAGGGGTGTTGGACCTGCGCGTGGTTGAGGAGCAGCGGGCGCGCCTCAGGCAATACACGAAGAAGGACAACTTCGTCACCCGCCTGCTGGCCGAGAGGATCTCCATCGACAACGGTTGGAACTCCCTGGATCTCGATTTGGCTGACGACGACGGCCCGCATGGCATCTCGGAGGATTCCTTGCGTGCGAAAGGGGAGGCCATCTACACGAAGAATCGTGGATCGTGCTGTGAATGCGCAGAAGATGGAATAAGAAATACGAAAGCAAGCGGAGAACAAAAAGGTCAAGGTGGCCACGGCCCTCTTGGAGAAGAAACCGGCCGACCACCTGAGCACTGCCATCGACATGAAGCTGAAGGAGGCGCTGGGCAAGCGGCAGGGTGGTTCTCTGGCCGTCCCTGGCGCCAATGCTCACCCCTGGGACCCAGAGGCATACACGTCGGTCGGAAGAAGTAGGTAAAAACATGCAGTAGGCAGGCGGATAAAGTGGATTGCGTCCAGGTCCTCCCAGAGAATAGCAAAACACAGCCAAAGCATGTCGATTCTTGAAGTAGGGAGGCGCAACGACCGGCGTGTACACTCAGCGGCTCCAGAAGGGGGACGACGTCCAGGCCAGCGACATGGTTGACGTCATTGCAAACACCTCCCAGACCCCCGCTGCGAGCGGGGGCGCAGGGGCTGGCACAGCCAAAGGCAAAAGCAAAGGCAACGGCGGCCGGCAAGGGCAAGGTCGGCGGCGAAGGCAGCGGCAAGCCACCGTCGACTCCCTCCTGGCCGCCTGGCAAGGGCTCGAGCAAAAGTAAGGACAAGGGAAGAGCCTCGAGCAAGGGCAAGACCAAAGGAGAATCCGACGGCAAGGCCGGCAAATTGTGGCAAGTCGAAAGGCGGCGGAAAAGGCAGGACGAACGGCCGCTTGCAGAGCTGGCGGCAATGAAATTCCTTGGCCTTTGCCGCACGATGTCGCCCACGGACCTCGACGTCCTGCTCGACACAGGGCACGGCAAACCAGGCTGGTACATGGCTGACTTGACCCAAAGGGTCGCCTGCACGCCCCGCGCAGGGGCCATCGCCTGGCCGGTGGAATTTCTTTTGAGGCGGTATCATAGAAAGCATCTATTCCCAGCCGGGCCCCGTAGGGACATCGGTTCCTGCTTGTATGTTTGGGAGCACCGGCTCCGCTGGCGCATTACAATGTCTGATTCTGAATCCAGCGAGTGGCATTTTCTCCGCTCCAGGCGGGTTGTGCCGCACCCATGCCCGATGACTTTCAACCTTGCCGTCGAGAGTTTCATCTCTGACACCAAGCACGAAGTGTTTGAGGAATGCAGGCGTGCAAGACGTCGGGTTTCATTCCTCGGCCGCCCCTCTAATTTAAACGGGGTTGACGAACTATCGCTGGATCTGCTCCGAAAGTCCCCAGTCGGCTATTGCATTACTGACAAAGACGGCGGATTTGCTGTGCTGCCGAAGGCCGCCATCTGAGAACAAAAACTTCACGCTTTGGCCTTTGACTTTTACGGGCGCAAAGCATGGCACGAAGAATTTGTGGTTGCGGCGATGACTGAATATTGCGAGGCTGCCTGCCGGGCAAGTCACCTGCAAGGCGCTTCATGGTAATTCTCCGCGCCCCATACTTCCTGGCATGCGCTGGGTAGCGTGGAACTGCCGACATGCGCTCCAGTGTGTGCCGCATGTGCTGACCAATACTGAACAACTGCAACAACACTTGTCGGCCCTCGCCCTGCCTCCGGGCTGCGTGTCTTGCAAACTTGACCTCAAAACTCTTCACATGTCAGGCGAGCACGACCTTCTTATCACCGAGTGCACGAGGCACATCGTTAAGGACCGAGAACAATTCCGAGCCCTACAGTCCAGCACTGTCCGTAACCTATTTGTTTGCGTGTCTGGTGACTTTGATGCACACCCATTGATGCACACCCATTGATGTACAGAGTCCTCCGTGGCACCGGTATCGGCTTGCGCTGCAGCGGCGAGGTTTCTGACCTCGTGTTTTACAGTTCGGTCGAGGAACCGTTGTGCTCCGCCCTGAAGTCAGGCGCGAACTCGGCATTCTGTTTTACGGCCGCTTCCGCGATGACATTCTGTGCAGTACCTCCAAGCCCGACGTACTTCACGAAATGTTGCAACGCATGCAGAGTTTGAGCCGCTGCTTTGATCTGACCATCGATTGCATCGACCCTGTCTGCACTGTCATGTTGAATCTCAGTTTGTGGTTCTGAGACAGAGGTGACGGTTTTGCCATGGAACACGCGGTGCATGCGAAACCCGCGTCCGTGTGGGTACCTCTTTTGACTCTTCGGCCCATTCGCCGCACGTGCACGCATCTTGGCCAAAGGGCTTTGAATCCAGGTTGCGTCGTAAATGCATGTACCGCCGCACTGCCGACTCACACGCGGCTGCGTTCAGGGACCGTCTCCGAAAGGCGTGCCCGAGACGTGTGCATTTGCAAGATTATCCCAAACCGTCGTTTATGACTCTCTCCCGCCCCCGCCCGCGGGTCCCACCTAGCAGGCCAATCGTTCCGTACAGGTTTGATGTATCTTTTGCCCGCATTCCTAGGGCCGTCAGACGTGCGTTCGACCGGTGGAGGCCTGATGATCACCTCAAACTTCCATTCACAGTGTGCCCGCAACTCTCGTGAAGGCTGGGGGTGGCCCGCACCCTCACGAAGTATCAGCAAGATGATGCTGACGACACTTGCTTCTTTCAAGTTATTCGGAGGTGCTAGGGGTCGGTAGGAGGGTTTTATCTTGTTGTATCGGCTCTAATCTTGCAGCGCGGAGAGCGCTTAGCATCCGAGGCCACATCCCATCATAGCTGAGTGGTGGGCCACGCATAACGGCAACAAATCTTCCACGTCTTGAGTCAATCATTGAAGCTCCTTACTTACTCCCGAGCCCGAGGCGGTCCTCATCTCGGCTTCCTGACTGCAGAATGCGTGCAGGGCAGCCCGACCCGCAGGTGAGCGAGGGAGGCCTGGCCTTTTACGTTCTCTGGGTTTCTCAACACGTGTGGGGGGTACCCCCCCGACAAGGGTCAGCCTCGCCTCGTCGTCGCTCCGCAACGGGGGTCGGAGCGCCTTCGGCAGGCGGTGGCTGCCCGCGACGGGGGTCGATGTGGGGCGTTCGGCGGGGGTGCCGCCCCCCCCGTCGCATATTCAGAAATTCGGAGTGCTCTAAGGCCGCGTGCGCCAAGTGGTCCAGAGCAGGCAGACGCCCGTCGTGGCAATAGAGGCCACGTAGATGGGGTCCGGGTAGATGGGGCCAGAGGATTGCACGGCATCGCCGATGCTTCGGCGATGCATCGGCGACGTCGGCGTGGAGAACAACGGGCTCCACATCGAGCCGCATCGCCGATGCATCGGCGATGCGGCGCGGTCTTCCGAACCCGTCTGCTCCGACCCCATCTTGGAGGCCTGGATGCAAGCAAGTGGTGGGGCGCACCAGGAGCGAAGTGAGGCACGAAGGCAAGAGAAAACAACGAGCCTCGCCTGCTCAGAGCAGCGCGCAAAGGGCGGGCGAGGCCCAGCAGGGACAAGGCGCATCCAGCGGTGGCGACGGGGGCCTCCCAGGTGGCCGAAGACGGCGAACGCGAGGGAAGGGTCACTCGCGGTATAGGTACCTTTCCCTCCTCCGAGTCGTGGCGAGCGGTGGGGCGCACGGGGGGGCGAAATGAGGCTTATATTGGCCCCATCGTACTTAAGGACCAAATCCAAACAATACTCTCGAGCATCCAGAAAAGCACCCAGAGATGGTTTTGAGGGCCTTTTTCGACACCCCTCATGAGGATCGTGGCTTCCGAGGGGGGTGCACTCGACTACCCCCCCCCAAGAGGTCCCCAAGAGCCCCCCAAGAGGCCCAAGGGGGCCCTGAGACGCCGCCAAGGAGCCCCAAGAGACCCCCAGGAGGCCCCCAAGAGGCCCTTGGGAGGTCCCAAAGAGGCCCCCAAGAGGCTTCAAAGAGGCCCCATGGAGCGCTCGAGGGCCGGCGGAATGAGCGAAGCGACTAATGACTTCGAGCACCCAGAAAAGTATCGACACAATGTTGAAGGAAGGGCGCCTCCCAGGGCCCGACACGTGAAAACCTTCAATTTTCTTTGTTTTCCCCACATCAAAAGTGGGGTTCTTGATTTCTCTGGACACCCCGCGCAGGATCTCTCCTCCCCCTCTCTCCCTCCTCTTCCTCCTCCTCTTTCATATCCTCCTCTTCCTCCTGCTCATCGTCACCACCACACACTCTCGCACTCTCACACACTCACACTCACTTGTTCATTCCCCCTCTCCGCCCCACTCACTCAGTTCATCGTCGTCACTCACACACCCACTCACACCCACACTCACTCACTCACACACTCACACCCATGGTCATTACAACCCTCATCATCATTCGATCACTCACCCACTCGCTCATCATCATCATCATCATCATCATCATCATCATCCAGCCACTCTCCATCATCATCACTCAGTCATCACGTCGTCATCACTCACTCTTCACCTTGAATATGGAGGAAGTATCAGGCGGGCGTTTTGTCTGTGATTACGTTGCGAGGAAGTTTCAAGCGGGAACACCCTCCCTATTGGTCCCGTGCGTCACGTTGGAAATCCGAACGGGTCATCCTCAACCATGTAGCGGTCGCCACTTTTGGGCTCTTGGTGCCTCAAAGTGGAGGAAATAAAAGCGGGAGCTTCGTCTGTAAGTCAAGTGTGAAGACGTCTCAGGCGGGAGCCCCCTCCCTATGGGTCCCGCGTTTCATGTTGGTCGCCCGAGTGGGTCATCCTCGACCCTGTAACGGTCGTCATTTGCGGCCTCTTGAAGCCTCGAGGCGTAAGAAGCATTAGGCGGCAGCCTCGTTTGTGAAAGACTTGGGAGGAAGTCTCAAGCGGGAGGCCCCTCCCTATGGGTCCCGCGCTTCGTATTGGAAATCCGAGCGGGTCATCCTGTAACTGTCGTCACGCCTGGGCCGTCGAGCCAGAATTTGGAGGAAGTCTCAAGCGGGGGCCTCGTCGGTGAGTGGATTGTGAGGAAGTCTCAGGTAGGAGCCCTTTCCCTATACGCACTTCGTGTTGGTAACCAAGGCGCGGTCATCAGAATGTTGTAACCGTCGTGACGTTTGGGCTCCTCGCGCCTGAAGGCGCAGGGAGTCTCGAGTTGGGGCCTCGTTTGTGGGTGACTCGCGAGCCAGTCTCGAGCGGGGGGGGCCCTCCCTATGGGAACCACTGGGGCACGTGTGGTGCGCGCACCCCCAGGAATGAAGCCGAGCAGCTCGCCGCGGAGCGTGGCTTCGTGTTGACTCCCGCCTGAACGCCGCGGCGCGCAGCTAGAGGCCCGCGGGGTTATCCCAACGGTCTGGCCCGCGGGGTTGTCCCGACGGCCTGCCCCCGCGCCCCAGCGGCCCGCGGGGTTGTCCCAAATGCATGGCCCGCGGGGCTGTCCCAAAGGCTTCGCGAACCAGCCGTCGGCGAACGCGCGCGCGCTGGCCGAGGCGGCGACGGCGCCGAGGAAAATCTATATGCTTGCCCCGACCAGGGGGGAGTGGGGGAACACATGGAGAAGAAGCAGGGGAAGGATGAGGACGGGGAAGGGGTAGGGCGAGGGTGATGACAAAGAGGAGGTGGAGGAGGAGAAGGAGGAGGAGGACGAGGAAGAGGAGGATACATAAAAGGAGGAGGAGAAATTACCCCAGTGCGACCCTACATAGACGTTCGAGCCCCTAGGAACGCAGCAGTATTTGCTATGCTATGCTATGCTGTACTATGCCATGCTATGCTGCACTATGCTATGATATGGTATGTTATGATATGACATGCTATGATATGACATGTTATGTTAATCTATGTTATGTCCTGATGCGCGGTGCTATGCTAAACTATACCATGTCATGATATGATATGTTAAGATGCGCTATGATATGATAGGCTATGCTATGCTAGGATATGCTGTGTTATGATATGCTGCGCTATGATATGATATGCTATGATTGGCTATGATATGCTATGCTATGCTATGCTATGCTAATGCAGCGCTGCGTTATGCGAAGCTAAGCTAAGTTAAGATAACCCTATAGGCAGTGCCTTTATCTTGCTTTGCTGTTGCGGTTGCTTTGCTTTGCTCTGCGTTGCTTGTGATGTGCTTTGCTGTCGCTGTTGTTGCTTTGCCTTTGCTTTGCTGCTATGCTATGATATGCTCTGCTATGCTATGCTATGCTGTGCTGTGCTGTGCTGTGCTGCGCTATGCTATGCTATGATATGCTGCGTTATGCTATGATATGCTGGGCTATGCTATGATATGCTGTGCTGCGCTATGCTATGCTATGCTGTGCTCTGCTATGCTAAAGCTCAGCGAAGCTAATATGAAGGTAAGCTAAGCGAAGATAAACCTGAGCTAAACTGAAGCTAAGCTAAGCTAAGCTGAAATAAGCTAAGCTAAGATGAGATAAGCACCGCGGAGCTAAGGGAACGTCACTGGGGGAACAGCGGGGCGGATCCTGGGGGAACCGCCCGGGGCGCATTCCACTGCCCCGCCCTTTAAGCCTAATAGTAAGAACCCTTCTAGGCAGAGCCTAGGTAGGGAATAAACAGAGGAGGAGGAGGAGGAGGAGAGGGCAGAGCAGAGGGCGAGGCGAGGGTGTCCGCCAGGGCGAGGAGGGAATAACTAAGGGCAAGCCAAACAAATGCTCATGTGGAGTCCTTCCGTCGGAATCACTGGTGCTCGAAATTATTTCTGGTGATCAAGGCTACAGTAAGATGGAACATCATAAAGTGAGGCACGAAGGCAGCAGAGACCATGGAGTCTCGCCTGTACAGAGCAGCGCGAGAAAAGGGCGGGCGAGGTAGGAGGGCGGATGCCCTCGACCCCGTCCTGGGCAGCGCGGCTGCGGCGCAGCAGGGCGGGGGTGGGTGGAAATGGGGGGTGACCTCACTGGGGGTCGAGGGCCCGCGGATGCACGACGAGGACCCAGCAGCACGAGAGGGCCGGGGGGAAGCCCGAGGATCGAGGACCAGAAGGGGAGGGCGGGGGTGAGGAGACGGAGGGGGTGGGGGGCCCTCCTCCTGATCCTCCTCCTCCTCCTCCTCCTCCTCCTCCTCCTCCTCCTCCTCCTCCTCCTCTCTCAATCCCCATCCAATACCATCTGCCCAAAATGCGGGGGTGGGGGCCTTGGAATCCGGCAATGTTCTCCGCCAAGTCGTCGAACATGTAGACCCGGGAGGTGTCGATGCTGATGGACTGGCTCTCGTACCAGGCTATCCGCCAACTCCCAAACCTCCGACGATATGAATTTTCCCGCCCGGGCGTTTTCGTCCCCAGATATTTCGGCACCTGGGGCCGTTATCAGGCCCTGGGACCATGAAACATGATCCAAGGTGAAAAACTGGCCCTGGGGAAGGGGTCGGGACCACTGGGCCCCCGAATTGAAAATATCACATCGGCGCATGTCTGGGCTCCCTGGGAGTCTGCAGCTGGGACCGAGGACGGAGGGCATCCGAGAGGGCGCGGCTCCTCTCCCGCGGGCAAGCCAGAGAGCCTCCCGGCCAGGTTTCTGCCATGGCGCGGCTCTTGCCTGCTCCGAGGGCCCCGAAGTTGGCCTCCGGAGGCCGAGCATGGCGAAGCACGTGCTCGGACCCTCCTGAGATGCCCTCGGCTGAGCACGAATGCCGCTGCGCGCGGCCCCCCGTCATTCAGGCGGGGCGCCCACCAACACGGGAGGGGCAGGCGGGCGGGGCGCCGGCCAGACGCATCAAATTCTTGGCGCACTCCTGCCGCACGCGGCGCGAGGGAGGACGGGGCTTGCCTCGGCACGACGCGGCCTGCCGCACGCGGTGCGAGGGAGGACGGGGCTTGCCTCAGCACGACGCGGCGAGCTCCGTCTCCGCGGCTCACCCGAGAGGAAGGCGCGCCTCGGCACCGCACGGCAGTCGCCGACGCGGCGGGTCCGGTGCAAGGAGGCCCCGAGGAGGCCACGCGTGGCACCCTGAGACCCGGCTTGCGTCGGATCCAGGTCGGACCTGCGTGGGGACCTCGCCGCGCGAACGACGGGGCGGGCATGCGGACTGGGCGCTACGTGATGATCGTCCAACTATTGCGCGCCGCGCGGAAGCCTCCAGGAGTTCCACCAACATTACCACGACGCTCGACGACACGCCGTCCTCCGTCCTCGCCAATCTTGCGCGGGGCTCTCGCACAATCTCTCCGGGGTGCCGTGGGGCTGGGTGGAGCCGCGGATCGTCTCAGGGCTCGGTGGCGGCTCCCCCGCGGGGCGCGCACCTCGAGACCATCTCTGGCTTTCTGCGGCCTTCTCGGGCTCTCGTGGGGCCATGTTGGTCTCCTCCGCAGGGCCCCCTCGGCAGGAGAGCCCAAAATCGAATCGACAAGTCGGATCGGCGATCGAAATGACTCGGATCTGCGGAAATCGGCAGCCGAGTCGGAAAAGTCGAATGGGCAGCAAACTGGTATGCCTCCAAGAAAAAATCTGAACCCAAATCGGAATCCCAGGTCGAATCGAACCGGAATCGGAAACCATCGAAACCGAATCGAATCGGAGGAATCGAAACGAGCTCTGCCCTGGGGCTCATCTTTGGGTCCTCTTCGGGCCGCCTCGTGGCGTCTGAGGCGCGTCTGGGTCTAGATTGGTGTCCGTTCCGCTCGGCCTCGTGCCTCGGTGCAGCACCGCAGCAGGTGGGCGGCCGTGCTGCAGTCAGTGCCGTGGTTTCGGCCCCGCTGCCTGACCGCGTGAAATGCGCAACGGGCCCGTTTTCCTTTTCGGCGTTTCGACATTGAGCGAAAAGGGGGGAGGAGGAGGGGGAGTCTGGCTCCAGACCTCTGACTGGTGCGACTGTTTGCAACAGTGTGTCCTGTGGGGGAGGGGCTCCACCTGCTCGAAACAGGCGCCCAAAACAGCCAAAATCTACTCACGGGGGGAGGGGGGGTGCGAGGGCCCGCGCCGATCGGAAAAATCATCTCTGCTTTTGGTGCTCCGATGCGTTTTGCGCTGTGGCTGAGGCTTGAAGCGGGCCCCAGGGCGCTCAACCTGGAGCGTTGCTCCTCACGCGGACGCTGCGCCGAGGCGGCGCGGGGAGAAGAAGCCAGGGCAAGGAGGCCTTTGAGAAGTCTCGTGGAGCCTATTGTGGTGATCCCGGGTAATCTCTGTACATATATATATATATCTATCTATATATATATATATATAACTATAACCTTCATACACATATGTCAGGAGTGAGGGGGCCGAACGGTCATTCACTGTCCCTGGATGGCTGAAGTGGGACTCCGCGATGCGGATTATCGTTGTTGTTGTTTGTTTGATTGCTTGCTTGCTTGCTTGCTTGCTTGCTTGCTTGCTTGTTTGTTTGTGTTGTTTGTTTGTTTGTTTGTTTGTTTGTTTTTTGTTTGTTTGTTTGTTCATTGTCTGGCGTCGTCACCCCCGCGATCCATCCCACGACCCGCCTGTGACGCACCCGCGACCCACAGGCGACCCACCCTCCGGCCCACCCACGTTGCTTTAACGAATAATTGGCGGCTGCGGCGGAGGCACCTGCGGCGGGCGTCTTGCCTCCTCACGCTTTCCCGCGACTCCAGGGTACTACGTAAACGCGCACACACACACACCGAAATATACATATAGCTAGATATAGTATATCAATGTGAGAGTGATAGGAGTGAGGGGGCGAAACCGTCATTCACCGGTCCTGGGTGAATGGCTGAAGTGAGATTCCGCGGAGCGAATTACTGTTGTTGCTTTTTGTTGATTTGTTTGTTATTGTTATTGCTAATGTTATTCGTATTGTGATTGTTGTTGTGGTTGGGCTCTCACGACTGAAATATAATTTCTGGTCCCCCCCATCCGGTGACCATTGCATTTGTTCAATTGAAGTTCTTCCCCAGGGGCTCGCACCCTATTTTTTTATCAGTGTATCAGGGAAAGTCACGGGGTTCAAACTGGGACGTTGGCCCCTGGATTGCAACAACAACAGCAACGACTCCCGCCTGATACTTCCTCACAATGTACTCCCAAATCGCGCTCTTGTGCGGGGCTCCCTCTCATTTTGTATACGAACCGCGCTCTCGCGTGGGACTTCCTCGCAGTTCGTTCTCTCGCTATGGCTCTTCTCACGATTTACTTGGGAATCGCGCTATCGCTTGAGACTTCCTCGCAATTCATGCAGGACCCACGCTTCAACAACCCGCCTGCTCGACCTGGTCGCTTGGGCCTGCCTTTCCGACCTGCCCGCCATGGTTCTGCCCACCCGATCTGCCCGTTTGGTTATACCACTTGTTTTCTGCTCCTTGCCCCCCTTCTGCTAACTTCTTTCGTGCCATTATTTTCCCTCCCCCTTCCACCCGTCTTCTCTTCCCTTGTGTTCGGGACTGTACTACATTCACGTGGCATGTAAGGAAGATATACCCCAACGGGGGTACCATCGAAGACGACGAGGGCGGGTACCAAGAGTTTGGGATATACGTATTGATTGGCACGTGAGCAGATAGGAACGAACAATGTTAAACTGTTTGTTGTTGTTGCTGTATTATTTTTGTTGTTGATGCTGTTGTGTTGTTGTTGTTGTTGCTGTCGCTTGGCATCGTCCGCCCCCCCCGACCCGGCCCGCGACACAACCGCGACCCACCCCGCGACCCGACCGCGACCCACCCTCGACCCACCCGTGACTCACCCGCGACCCACCCGCGGCTTGGCCCGCGACCCGGCCCGCGACCCGGTCCGCGACCCGGTCCGCGACCCACCCGCGACCCACCCACGACCCACCCGCGACCTACCCCACGACCCACCCATATTGTTTAACGAAAAATCGGCGGCTGCGGCGGGCTCGTTGTAGATTTTGTGCAAATCAAGCACCTGCGGCGGGCTTCTTCAGAGCCTCGCAGATTGCAGACGTCCCCGCCGCCCCCTCACTCTTATCCGCGACTGCGGGTTGCTACGTGCATATATGTGAATCTATGCATATAGATATATATATATATATATATATATATATATATATATATATATATATATGTATATGCGTAGATGCACATATGTATATGAATATGTACATACAATGTATAAGTATAGCTGTATACATATATGTATATATATACATATATATATATAGGTATATGTATATATACATACATACATACATACATACATACATACATGCATGCATGCATACATACATACATACATACATACACATACATACATACATACATACATACATACATACATACATACATACATACATACATATATATATATATATATATACACACGCTAGAACCATCGCGCGCGTTTCGCGCGCGCTCAGGTTCTAGCCCAGGCGGGGGGGGCGATGTTCTTGCACAGCGCTGTCAAGCACAAGCGCGTGACATAATCGTGCCTTCTGAGGGCCTCTTGGGAGCTTCTTGGGTCTTCGTGGGGGCATCCTGGGGGGTTCTCCGTGCTTCCTCAATTTGTTGTTGTAGGCACCTCTTGGGTGCTTCTTGAGGGGGCGTCTCGGGGCTTCTTGGGGGCATCGTCGGGGTTCTCTGGGCAGTCGGAGGGTGATGTTCTGCAATCTGAAACCGTCGTTGGCCGTCTTGGTTGCGTGGAGGCCCGACTTGAGGCCACCTGGGGCCGAGGCAATCTTCCGGGGGCCTGCTGGAGGCAATTTTGATGCCTTGTGGGAGGCTTTTGGGGGGCTCGTCGGACCACTTGTGGACTCTTGGGGCCTCCTGTGGGCCTCTGAGGACGGAAGGCTCTGCTGTTGGGTTCGCGTTCCCTTTCTTGGACCTCTCTTGGGAACCTCTCGGGCCGCTTTGGGCGCGTCAGGCACCGTCTTGGGGCCATCGTGGGCCATCGTGGGGCCCTCTCTTCGGCTATCTTGGAGCGGTCTTGGGGGCCTCTTGGACCGTCTTGGAGCGTCAAGATGGCTAAAGGCTGAAAGCTCTGAAATCCATCAGAAACCGATACTATGATTTTGCCTCTTGGGGCCTTATTGGGAGGCCTCTCGGAACCTCTAGGTATATATATATATATATATATATATATATATATATGTATATATGCACATGGATTGTCTGACCGTCCCCGTACTAATGCAGGGTTTCGAGTGGGCCCTCGTCGGGGTCGCGTGAGGCCTTGGGGGCTTCATAGGACTGTTCTTGGGCTGTCTGGGAGTCCTGTTGGGGTGTCTTGGGGCCTTCTTGGGGCGTCTGGAGCCCCTCCGGGGGCCCTCTTGGAGCTTCTTGGGGCCGTCTTGGGCCCCTCTTGGACCGTCCTGGGCTCGGCTTGAGGCTCTCTTGGGAATCTATTGGGCCATCTTGGAGCGACCTCGGGGGCCTCTTCGGCCGTTTCGAGCTCTCTGGAGACCGAGAAGCCGACTACGCGAAAATTGCACCGAAACCCAAGGAACACCTATTTTTGCCTCCCGGGGGCCTCTTGGTAATCGTCCTAGGCCATCTGGGGAGCCCGTTGGGCCGTCTAGTTGCCATGTTGGGTCCACCTTGGGCTATCTTGGGCCCATCGTGGCCGTCCCGGCGAGCTCGTCGGGCCCTCCTGAGGCCTCCTGGGGCCCTCCAGGGCCGTCCTAGGGCCATCTGGGGCCGACGTGGGCCCTCTTGGGCCGCTCGCGACTCAGCCTCCCTAGCCGGGCCCGAACTTGTCTCAGATCAGTATATGTGTCTAGGTGCTTATTGCATTCGTAGAATTATTTGGATGTTTTCGGAGAAGCGTCTGGGAATCTTGCCTGAGGTGTTCCCAGAGAGAGGACTGGTCCTGGAGAGGTATCTGGGAACGTCGTCTAGGATGAGAGGCCCTCGGGAGGATCGTTGAGGGCCCCGAGGAGTGAACCCAGAAAAGCGTCTGGGAACATGCAACCCTATTGCCGTGGTGCCGTTTCCGTAGCCATGTGGGCCCACGTCTGGACGCGAACTCTAGACCCACTGGGGCAAAAATCAATTTCGTCTGAAAGACCCACACAGTCTGAGGTGCGGCCAGCTTGGAGAGGAGGAGCGCACGCAGGCGGTATCGGCTCTGATGCACTTCAACCGATTGCCGCGGGAGCGCGTCGACGACCCCTTCGCCAAGTTCGACGTGGTCCGCAACAGGGCGCAGCAGGCCGGCCAAGTCATGATCGGCTACGAGGGTCTCAGCAACCTCTTGCTACGCGCGGTGGGCGTGTCGGACATCCACCTCACCGTGGTCCTACAACTCTGCAGCGTGGCCTGCCTGACGGACGCGCCACAGCTTGTGCGCACGATGGGCCAACTGCGCATATTGTGACATCGGGGATCTTCTGACCCGGGTCAATCCAGACCCGGGTCAGCAGGAAATCAAAAAACAACAATGCAAGAAACATGAATTGCAACGCAAGTCTCCGCAAACTGGGGTCTGCCAATATGCGCGGCCGCCTCGCGGCCACGAGCGGCTCGCTAACCCGGGTCGGCCAGAGGGGGTCTTCGCAGGATCCTGCAGGATCCGGTGTCCTGGCTGACCCCCGTTTGCATTGACCCCCGTCTCAAGGCTCCCGGTTTACATGTGATCGAAGGGTCGCTGGGCAAGCTCCCGAACGACGTGCACCCCACCCTCCCCCTCAGAACTCGTGGGGGGTACGGGGTCGGCTTCGAAGGGCCGCTGGGCAATCTCGCCGCGGCCGTGCACTCGTCCCAGCGCTAGAGCGTGCCTCGCGGGTGTGCCCCGCGCCCGGGTGAGCCGAGCGCGAGCGGGCTCGCGAAAGGCCCCCTGGCGGCTACGGCGCCCACCTGGATGCTCGAGAGCCAGGCCTGCTGCATCGCGGTGGCCACGGAAACCTAAGCAGAGGCTCGTGGGCTGAACTACACAAACGCTTCGTCCAACAAGTCCCCCCCCCAATCTGGGCGCGAACGGGCCCGTGTGTTACCTCAAGGAGGCCCTCCCTTGGGGCTGGCCGTGGGCAGTGAGCACCACAACCAACTCGCAATGGTCCAAGACAAATTGCCTGAAAGGCCTCCCTCCATCATCTGGGCGCAAGCGGGCCCGTAATTGCCCTGGCGGCACTCCGCAAAGATCTCGCGTTTGCCTCCTCGACGAACCATGGCGAGGCATGGCACACCAACTCTGGACCACCAAATCACGCTCTTGGCTCCCTCAAAACACCGCGTCACGGAACGGACCTACAAGCCCATCGACCGCTTGAAAAAAGGTTGGTCGCACGAGCCTTCCCCTCCCGCGACCAACGGACTCAACCGATGGCCTGTCCCCTACAGGGTGGAGAGCAATTTCTACGTATGCGACCATGAGCCCCTTGTTGCCCATCGACGCTGGGCGGTCTTCGGCGGTCTTCGGCGGTCTTCTGGCGGTCCTCGGCGCGAAAGCTGGTCGGTTGTGCTTTGTATGGGGTACGTGACTGCCGACCCGAGCTCGAGCACGACCCAGCCCGAGCCCGAGCCCGAGCCCGAACCCCCGTCCGGGCCCGAGCCCGAGCATCAGCCCACTGACGCGGGAGCGCTGCAGAAAGCGCAGAGCAGCACTCGGGGGCGCCCTCCCCAACATGCGGTCGGTGCCGCCTCGCTCGGCGGCGGGCACCCGCGATTTCCAATGGAAACCGGGACCCGTCACTAGTCCACGCCCCCTTGATCCATGTTTGTGAGCGCCTGAGCAGGGCATAACGGCCAGGCACCTCCTCCTCCTCCTCCTGCCCGCGCTCTCTTGGCGATCTCCCCCCCGCGCGCGCCCAGGCTCGCGCGCCGCAGGAGAGGAAGGCCGACCCGGCCCTCCAGGACTCCAGGGCTGGCCGGCGCCTGGCAGGCGCCGGCGGCGCGAGGGGCGGTGGCCCTCTGAGGAAGGGGGGGGGGGCAACGTCCACGAGGGAGGGCCTGCGGGGGGCCTTCCTGGGACCCCTGCGGGTTTTTGAGGATGCCTCCTGGCAGCCCCTGGGGCCTCCTCTCCGAAGGCCCCTGCCTTTTAAAAAGCCCCCCGCCCCCCGCGAGAGGGGCAACCGCAGGGGGGACCAGCTCCGAGGGGGGAGCCAGCGACCTGGAATCGTTGACGCATAGATTCCCGACAGCGAAACAGGAGGGTCCTGGGCGGAGTGGGCTACTGGGCCCCCATCGACGATTAGTAAGCGATCGGAGGTCGATGCACCCCCCTCAAGCTGATCTATCCCCCGAACATTGTCCCTGATTCCTCCCCCCCTTTGTGCGCGCCGCCACGAGACGCTCGTCCTCAGGGGAAAACCCCCCTTGGAAGATACATCGGGCGCCGCGGCCGTTCCAGACTGCTGCGGAACGCTCTGTCTGAGAGCGTCCAAGGACGCTCTAGAGAGAGTCGTCCCGACCTGAAACCTGCATGGAAAAGTAACGCAACGTTTTTTCTCAAGTGTGTCGCCCCCATCCCCCCTCTGGGCCCGCGATCAATCTGTGTCAGCCGCGGCGGGCAACAGAAAATTCAAATAGTGCGCCCCCCCCGCGTGAACAGTGAAATTGATGGGCGCGGGGATACGGACCGCGCGCGAAAGACGCTTGAATTTTCCAGTCTAATGTTGGCTTGCTTGAACTGGACGCCCAAGCTGTCCGAGATAACTCCTGTCCCCGCTGACTCCGCTTTTGGCCCCCGACGCACGGACCAAGAGCTCCCCCTGTCCATCCCCAGCCCCAATGATTCGGGAGCGGGTGGACGCTTGAATTATCCAGGATACCTCAGCTTCAGAGTAACTCCAATCTAGGCGCCCGACGCACGGACCACGCGCTACCCATGACCCCCGCAGCCCCGATGATGCGGGAGTGGCTGGATTCCCGAACTATCTGGGATAACTCTGGTCCGGGGTACCTCTGGTTCAGGCGCCAGAGGCACGAACCAGGAGCTACCCCTGACCAGCCCCAGCCCCGACGATCCGAGAGTGGTTGGACGCCCGAATTATCTGGCTCTGGTCTGTGGTACAGGCGCCCGAAGCACGAGTCAGTAGCAACCCCTGACCAACCCCAACCTCGATGGTTCGGGGCTCCGGCTGAAGACGCTCAACCTCCAGAGTGGTCGCCGACTCATCGACAGGGCCAGACGGACAAAGGCCGGCCCCGCCCGCACGAGGGCGGCCACAAGCGGCCAGAGCGACGCCCCACCGCCCGCTGGGCGCCGGTCCTGTTTCTTGCCGTTGGGGCACCCAGTCAGGAAGGGGGAGGAGGCGACCTTCCTGTGCGGCGCGGGGGTGGTCGTCGTCGTAGCAGCAGTACTAGGTCGTGGTAAAAGCATGAATGGCAACCGGTAGTCGTGGTAGTAGCGGTAATAGTGGTCGTAAGGGTGGTAGTAGTCGTGAGCAATAGTAATAGTAGCCGTAGCGGCGCTGACGCCTGTCGCACTCTCCGCCGTTGAGGCCGCGGCAGCAGCTGCAACTTCGCAGCGAGGGCGCCGCTCGCAGGCGCGCTCATGCGCTCACTTGTGTGCCAACCGCTGGCCCCCGGCCCCCCTGGGGGGGTAGCGTTCCCCTCGTAAGGCTCGGGCGGCAAGGGCATGGTGCCCCCCCCCGCTCCCGCAGCCCGTAGCAGTCAGTAGTCGTCGTAAGAGTAGTAGTAGTAGTAGTAGTAGTAGTAGTAGTAGTAGTAGTAGTAGTAGTAGTAGTAGTAGTAGTAATAGGAGGAGTAAGAGTAGTAGTAGAAGTAGTAGTAGCAGTCGTCGTCGTCGTCGTCGTCGTCGTCGTCGTCGTCGTCGTCGTCGTCGTCGTCGTCGTCGTCGTCGTCGTAGTAGTAGTAGTAGTAGTAGTAGTAGTAGTAGCAGCAGCAGCAGCAGCAGTAGTAGTAGTAGTAGTAGTAGTAGTAGTAGTAGTAATAGTAATAGTAGTAGTAGTAGTAGTAGTAGCAGTAGTAGTAGTAGTAGTAGTAGTAGTAGTAGTAATAGTAGTAGTAGTAGTAGTAGTAGTAGTAGTAGTAGTTGTAGTAGTAGTAGTAGTAGTAGTACTAGTAGTAGTAATAGTAGTAGTAGTAGTAGTAGTAGTACTAGTAGTAGCACTAGTAGTAGTAGTAGTAGTAGTAGTAGTAGTAGTAGTAGTAGTAGTAGTAATCGTAATATAAAAAGTGGTCGTAGTAATAGTAGTCGCAATAATAATAGCAATAGTAACGTAATGATGAAATATTAATAGTCGCAGTCGTAGTCGTAGTCGTTGTCGATGTCGTAGAAATCGTAATAGTAATCGTAATCGTAGTAGTAGTAGTAGTAGTAGTAGTAGTAGTAGTAGTAATAGTAGTTAGTAGTAGTAGTAGTAATAGCAGCAGTAGTCGAAGTATTAATAGTAGTAGTCGCAGTAGTAGTACTACTACTAGTAGTAGGACTACTAGTAGTAGTAGTAGTAGTAGTAGTAGTAGTAGTAGTAGTGGTAGTGGTAGTGGAAGTAGTAGTGGTAGTAGTAGCAGTAGTAGTAGTAGTAGTAGTAGTAGTCGAAGTAGTGGTAGTCGTAGCAGTAGTCGTAGTAGTAGCAGTAATCGTGGTAGTAATAATAATAGTAATGCTCGTAGTAGTAGTAGTAGTAGTAGTAGTAGTAGTAGTAGTGGTGGTGGTGGTAGTAGTAATAGTAGTAGTAGTAGTCGTAAAAGTAGTAGTCGTCGTAGTCGTAGTAGTAGTAGTAGTAGTAGTAGTAGACGTACTGGTGTAGTAGTAGTTTCGGTCGGTCGTAGTGGTAGTGGTAGTAGTAGTAGTAGTAGTAGTAGTAGTAGTAGTAGTAGTAGTGGTAATAGAAGTTGTAGATGCAGTCGTAGTCGTAGTCGTCGTAGTCGTTGTAGCACAGGTAGTTGTAGCAATAGTAGTAGTAGTATCAGTACTATTACTACTAGTAGTAGTAGTAGTAGTAGTAGTAGTAGTAGTAGTAGTGGAACTAGTAGTAGTAGTAGTAGTAGTAGTAGTAGTAGTAGTAGTACTAGTAGTCGTAGTAGTAGTAGTAGTAGTAGTAGTAGTAGTAGTAATAGAAGTAGTAGTCGCAGTCGTAGTCGTAGTCGTCGTAGTAGTTGTAGTACAGGTAGTAGTAGCAATCGTAGTAGTAGAGGTAGTAGTGGTACTAGTACTCGTACTAGTGATAGTAGTAATAGTAGTAGTAGTGGAAGTAGTAGTAGTAGTAGCAATACGAATCCTGGTCGTGAAAGACAGTGTGCTTGTCGTAGTCGTAGTTGGAGTGGGTGTAGTGGAGTTGTCGAATTAAGGAAGAAACGTAGTAGTAGAAATAATGGCAATAGTAATAATACTAATATTCGTTGCAGTCGTAATAACCGGTGTAGGTGTAGTAGTAGTAGTAGTAGTAGTCGTAGTAGTAGTAGTAGTAGTAGTAGTAGTAGTAGTAGTAAGAGTAGTAGTAGTAGTAGTAGTAGTAGTAGTAGTAGTAGTAGTAGTAGTAGTAGCATTAGTAGTAGGGTAGTAGTAGTAATAGTAGTAGTCGTGGTTGTAGTAGTAATCGTAGCGGCAATCGCAGTCGTAGTAGGAGTAGCAGTAGTTGTCGTAATAGTAGTAGTAGTAGTAGTAGTAGTAGTAGTAGTAGTAGTAGTAGTAGTAGTATGTCGTAGTCGTGGTAGCAATAGTAGTACTGGTAGCACGAATAATAATAGCAATCGTCGTAAGAATGGTCGCAAAAATGGTAACACACAGAGCCGTAGTCGTAGTCAAAATAATAATATGGATTGTAGTAGTGGTCGCAGAAGTAGTATCAGTAGACA